TCTGAGTTTCATAAATACTCAGCACCTGTAACTTTGGAGTTAGTGGAAGTTTAGTGATCATGGTGCATCTCAGAAGTGGACCACAGGTGTTTTACTGGGCTGTTGACAGCAGTACTGTTCTTTTTGGCTCAGGATGTTCTTGCTTTCTGCCAATCAGCTGTGTAAATGAAAGCCACAGGTTAAGCAATCTCCTCATGTACTGCTGTAAACTGCAAAGCCATCTGCACACAGTGGGGCATGGTATGCTTGAGCTGTCTTTCAGCTCCGCAGTCTGTCATCTTCATACTCTGCCAACCACAGAACGGAGAAGAGGAGCCAGTTATCTAGCCCATCTCTGTCCTACATGGATTTTGAAAATTAATACAGATCCTGCATCCTGTACCAGCACTGAAAAGACAATGAGGTGAGGGGGGTCAGAGAGTTGTGCTGAAGTCCAACTGATGCTCTCAGTGAACTAAAATTTGTCTTACATCTGGGTTGTTTTTTGATATTATGTAGTAGACTACTGTTTTTAGGTTGGATGATGTTTATCTGTTTTGTGTATTACCAAACGTAGAGGTGATAAGTCCTCAGAGGTAAAGACATTCACTTTCATGCACTGTAGCCATGGGTTTTGTTTGGATCAGTGAGGTAGCAATGAAGGGTTTTATACCTGTGACCTACTTCCATGAGCTGTGCTATCTGCCTAAAATCACTTAGGTAAATTTATGACTCCTACTACATAGCTCTACTTGGAAAAATGAATTTCTTTAGCTTTAGTTTATGTACTATCACAGTCAGATGTAACACAGGCCAACAAAAGTGAACGAAAACATATGACACAAAAAACTCCAGCAATTGAAAGTATCTATATGATTACAGCAAAAGAAATACTGACCCTTAACTCAAGTTTGTGTATTCAACCTGAGTACATGTTTAACATGAGTTTTCAAATTCTCTTCTAAGGTTAAATTGTCAGGTTGATACTAGCATGGATTCAGATCTGTTTACCTCTCATGTTCATTGCCAGTGCAGTTTCAGAGCCTGCTACTATCTATGCTAATGTCTGGAGACTTCTGTAAATTATGAGAATTTCATAAAACTTTCAGATTAGCTTTCTTAGGAATCAAATTTAAAAGTGTAAATCTTTGAGGAATTTATGCATTGTTCAGTAAGTCCAGTGAGAAGTATCTTCTCTTCCAAGTGTGCTGTAATCTCCATTGGTGAGAATCACTTGGATATGGTACCTGAAAATGGCATTATATTTTATAAACGGACATGAAGTAGAATGTAAACTGTAGGTGATACAGAGTCTGTGGTAGGTGTTTGCAAGGTGCTATCTGAATTAGTCACTGATCTAGGTCAAGCAAAATATATTTTCATCTTGGAGCTGACACAGTGTGGAACAACTGAAATGAGACTAATTAAACATTAAGCTGTGTTATTTTAAATACATAAATGAGATTCTGAAGAGACATTGGTAGTGGAAAGAGTTGCTACATCTTGTATTTTTTTGCACCACTGACAAGCAAATAAAAACCTAAAAAAAAAAGCAATCTATAGGAAATAGGAAACCCAGCCAAAATCATTGTCTACAAGGGAGCGAGGGAGGATAAAAAAGGATCTACTGTAAAGAAAAGCAGCTAAAATTTTTACCCCCTTTCCCCCCCCCCCCTCGCTTTTTAAGGCAATTAGCTACCTGGCCTATTTCTGTTCCCCTCAAAAATATTTGTGGTGGCTCTTGAGGCAATTTAAACTGACAAAGAGAGACTTACATCAGCAGAGGTGATTAACAACAAACAAATTGTGATCGCTTGTGTTTTACAACATCTAATATGAAGGAAACTCTTTCCTAAGTAGAAATAACAATAAAGCATGTTAGGTTAAAGAAGTACTTCTCAATCTGAAGGTGATAGAAAAATTTCTAAATTGTGTTTTTAAAAAAAAAAAAAAAAATTTTTATGTGTTTGATGTAGGACTGGCTGATCAGACTATGTACTATATCTGCACACATGCAAGCAATACATACACAATTTTAGCTGTAGTATACTGGTATAAATTAGGACAAAATCTGAAGCTCTAATGAATTCCATGTAGAGACTAAACCAATCAGTGTTAAACTAACAATTGTATGTGTGAGATATTGATGCATGCTAACGTGTTCTGTAAGCAAATAAATTTGCTGGTTGCTGGCACTGTTAGCAGTGGCTAACTAGAAAGTTATACCCCCTTTTTTGTCCAAGTCATAAGAGAGACAACAACTTCTGACAGTAGAAGTGGGGAAGGAATTTTAACCACTGTTTTCTTTTGCTGGGCAAGTAAGCATGCAGTTTAAAAATGATTAGCATTTGTTTTGCAAATGTGCATTTTACTAAGCACTTGCAAGTCTAGGTTGACAAAAGACAGCTCTTTCCTCCTATTATTAATCATTATTACTTTTTAAAAAATCAAAAAATAAATTTAACTCCATTTTTTTCCCCCATAATAGATTCTGATGCGTGGCCCTAATCTAACTTGTTTTAGACAGCTACCACCCACAGTGTTGAGCAAGATCAGGTATCTCCAGCTTTTTGGTCCATGAGACGGCAGTTTTCTTCCAAGGCAGGAAAAAGTAACTCTTCAGTTCCAGTATTTGTGAGCAGACACTTACTAGATGTCTTGAATGGGCTTTTCCCTCCCCTACTTTCACGCTTGTCACTGTCAGTCACAGCCCCAACTAAAAAGTGTATGTAGAACAGCTGCCAAAAGTTTCTGATGAGAAAAGCAATTTATCATTAGATCTTATCAACAGCTTCAGCCAAAATTTATCAAATACATGAAAATAATGAAGAAAAATACAGTGCAGAAAATGAGGGTATACGAGCACTGATAAGAGCCCAAGGACCAAATTTCTGCTTATACAGGTGTAAATCAGAAGTTAGGGAGTTATACCACGTAAAACCATAGTTTCTAGCAATCAAGGAGCTTTAGTCTATTACAGGCTCTGACACTGACTCTGTGATTCACTTCACTTCTTCCTGCCCAGCTTTGCCACATCTTATAATTTTCCCTTGCAATAATTTGTCTTTTTCTTTACTATTACTATGTCTACTTTGGGGCTGAAGAGCTGCGATACAGAGAGGTTGGATGACTTGCTCAGTATCACACACAAAGTGACATAGCGGAGGAAGATACTTCACAAGCTCTGGACTAATGTTCTAAGTACTTTCTCTAATATACAGGTAGCAACAGCAGCAGAACTGGTAATGAAGTTAAAATGCACTTCAAGTAAGTTCAAGCCCACAGTGGTAATGTAAGGGTTTGAATTTCTCAGTAGGCTTTTAAATTAACCTATAGGCCTGGATGACCTAAAAATGACCTAAATATGTATAGATCCTGGAACACATGCTCATTTTCACATGAGCTAAGAGACTTTTACCTCTTTCTTTCCCAATTATTCCAGGATGCTACTTCAGCCAGATGACTCCTTGCAGATTCTAGCACCTGTGGAAGCTGATGTGGGTTTCTATGCTTGCAATGCATCTAATGCCCTGGGATCCGACTCTGTCTCCATTGCTGTGACTCTAGCAGGTAATAGTTTGTAATATGTGATTGCAGGATCGTCCCTATCACTTGTGTGATTCTGGCCAGAAAGAGTTTACGGGAGTACAGATGGGTCTGGAAGCAAGGGTGTGCAAGCTGTCTGGAAGGAGGTAGATTCTGAGCCCAAACTTAGTGTGGGTGCCCTGGAAAGCCCTGAGGCACAGTCCAAACTTGCACTGATAGTTCATGAGATTAGTGGGTTAGTCTGCAAGCACTGAGTGCTTTTCCTCACTTTCCATGTCCGAAATGAGCCCTCAGGCCCTGTTATTGCTGCTCATGAGCAGTACATTATTCAGGTGTAAGTTAAGCAAGCCTGAAATATACCGGAGCTGAAGAGCTATCCCCTTGTGAGATCAAGCCCGGCACCCTGTCTGATCTGTTGTGGCACGAGAGCGGTTGACGCGCTCTCAGTTGCTGGCAAATAGAGTTTCACAAAATATTGACTTTTGTGTTTATATTCCTCTAGTCATGGTTCAGTTTTACACAAGACTAAATATCCTTTGTTAGTTTAGATTTCAATTCTAAAGAAAACCCACCCGAATAAAAAATAAAGAGAAATAGGAGGTTGTACACGAATCTAACTTCTTCCAAGTAAGCTGGTAGGCAATTTCAGTAGGCTGACAGCCGCAGCAGGGCTGGTAGAAGAGGCACTAGGCAGCAAGAGGATGAATGGCAAGTTGTTGCAGAAGATGAAGGGAAAGAAGACAGTCAGCACTGAAAGACTGTGATAAGGCAGGGAGGTCTACGAAAAGCAGGATCCTATTTACTACAAAGATTAAAGGAAACACTTTAGGAATACTAAAAATCTAATTTGTAGTTCTGTGTTTGACAGTTCAGGCTGCTGTGTTCACTGTGCTAGCTCCAAAATGGGGAAGTATTTGGATGCCTGCAGTGTGCAGAGTGTGACCGTCTGCTATCAATGCATACATGTATGACTAGAGGGAGGAATAGATTTTGAGGAGCTTGAGTTTTTTTGACACCAAACACGGAGATAATCTCCAAGCAGAGGAGCATAAGGAAACCTAAGTATGCAGGAAAGGCCAGCAGCAAAGCTCCCACGGTCAGTAAACCAATTGCAAAGAGACCCTGTCTGTCCCTTTGAGCTGAATCTCTAGGGCAGAAAGGGAAGAGCTACATGAGAGCTATGTACGATTTATGTAGGTAAAAATAGAGAGACTGACCCTTCTTACAGTAATGCAGATCAGGAGTATCTCTGCTGAATGCAGGGCGGTGGTACTGCTGCTAAGGTGGTACACTGCTTTATGAGTAGCAGTTCCACAGTATAACTCTGGTGAGGCAGCAACAGGAATCTGAACATAAAGTTTGAAAGTGGTCAGTCAAAGCAGCTATACTATCCACGTAGTTCCAGTGGGTTTGGAAATCTTCTTAGTCAAATCGTAGCCTTTGTATAATCTAATTTGTGAAAAACAGGTTGGTATGAAGCTATAGAAAAATAGGCTGAGCAATAGGTATACGTGTGGGATAGATAAGCCAAGAGCTCTTTTAAACTGTAACCTTCATAGTTAAATTACATTAATTGTTTAAGAGGAATTTACATTCACGCCTCCCAGACTCAAGCTAAACTCTGCTCTACATTTTCATCTCCTATCCAACCTGAACATCTTATAAAATTAGGCTATAACATCAAAATAAGATACCAAGCAGTTTTTGGAACAAAGCAACAAACCTTTTGGCATAATGGAAATACTTTCTCCAAAAGACTGGAAAGCTGAGAACATCTTTAGAGGGATCAGGAATGTGGCTGAAAGCTTATTTCATTGAAGAATTTTGTGATTAGTTTAGCATATGGAGAGAAGAAAGACAGTGGAATATGCTTCCATTTTTCTGAATGGTTTGCTACTCTTTAATTGGCTGAACAGCTAATGGATCTTTAATCTTATGATGAGATTGTGAAAGCCAATCAGGCAAATAAAAGGCTGGTTGATAGCTCAAGTGTTTTTCTTTCTTTGTGATTTAGTCATTACCACAAAACATCAAAACTTTTGGAAAAATTTCAGCAATAAGGTGCAGTATTTTACTTTACCGTTCTTAAGCAGTAGAAGCAAGAAAAGAAGAAAAATATACTAATCAGGTAGAGATTACAAATGAAAAGCATATTTTAAAAGCCCTGGAAATGTAGCTATGTGCAGCAATTTATGGTTAGGGCTAAATGAGATTTTCAGGACTCTCTACGACTTCAGTATAACAACATTCCTTTTGACACCTGCGTCTGTTCTTCATACGCCACTTCCAGACTGACAGTCTAATGAAACCAGCAGTACACGTTAGGTTAAAACTCCAGCTTCTGGAGTCAAATGATGATATTTGAACCCGTTTTGTAACTGACCCTTTATTTAAAGGGAGAAAAAAATTCTACTCCTAGATTTTTTGGATAAAGATGAGTTTGAAAATATAACACTGCGACAAAAACACCTAAGTCCCATGCCATTTAAAGCAATGCTGTCATGTTGGGCTCACTCGTGTTCTCTTCCTTCTGCCAGTATTCTGCCTGCAGAGCATTTTAGCTCAGTCAGAGGACTGTCTTAATGTAACGTGGGCACCTCTGGTACTTCTTCATTCCCGTCACTCAGAGCTAAGCCTGAGTGTCTCTGAATTGTAACGTTTTCTGTACAGATATCTGTACAATGCCGCTGTATCATAAGTTGCCAAAGTGTCCTAGCATCCCTGATGGTGGATAGCTGATTTCACGCAGAGAGGCACAACAGTAGGGCGACGTCTTGACCAATGCCCACTTGCTTGCTGTCACTGCCGATGCTGGAAGTCTAGTGAAAACGATCCACTTGTACCACTGTTTATTGATTCAGCTGGTTCTCGTGTGTCCATATGGCTTTAATACTCTTCTGAATCTGCTCTAAGTACCCTTTTTTTTTTTTTCTTTCCTCAGAGGCATCTTTCCCGTGGACTTCAGTGGTATTGTAATATCATAAAGAGCAGGTCACCTCATACACCAGCATTGCCCCATGTGCAGCTACCTCGCTGTCCATTTTAACTACTTCCTTACAGAGTGTACTGTTGGCTAGATGCACTGTGGGAGTCTAGTGTGCTTGATCTGATAAACTGTGGTGCTTCTTTTACACAGGAAAACCTCTGATAAAGGCATCGAGAGCTACTGTGATCAACACTGAATTGCCTGCTGTTACTGTTGATATTGGAAGCACAGTGAAAACAATCCAGAGAGTAAACGTTACCATTAGCTGCCAGGTTGCAGGTGAGAAATGACTCTGTCTGTTCTACTGGCTCCTGCAGCTCTAACTTTCTGTGAGGTTCTTTTCTGTATTGTTGTCTTCATGTATGGTTAGATGAAACACCATGGTCTTAGTTTTCAATGACTCAGCCAAACCTTCTTCCTTCCATTAAATCTTAGTATAGAAATTGTCCTGCTTTTATCAACACCAACAAGAAAAGCATGGAGGCTTAAGAAAATTGATCTGGGACTGTACAGCAATCGTTTTTATTACAGAGACACATTACAATGAGGCTAGAACAAAATTGGCTTTCTTACCTATTGGGAATATCTGCTGAGAAGACATAAGCATGGACTGACTCATTTCCTCAGTGACGGGCTCAGAAAGTACACCTCAGTTAGTTCCTGCTTTTATTGCCAAACTATTTTCAAAATGAAAGTCATGTTAGTGCACTCTTTCTGATTGTTTTTTTTTTTCATCTTGAGGTGCAGAAGTTCAGAGAAATTCCAGGGCAACTGGAATTTCCCTGACTCTGTTTTACAACCAGAGACTTAATGCGCTTTGCTCTTACAATGGTAGCTTGCCCGTTTTCAATAGCTACAAAATAAGGTTGACCTTTTCTGCATGTTGCAGTCCTAAGGCTGTTGGTGGGAAAGATAATGGTAGGTAGCTGAGGGGGGACAGCGGGGGAAGAAAGAGGGTGAGCTGGGAAATTTCTAAAGACCCAAAACCAAATCTTAAATCCATTATACTTTTATGCACAGTGTGAGGGGTAGGGGGAGGGAAGAGGTTTACAAAACCCAAAGTGAGCCATGTAGGTGTTACTCCTCTGCTGTGGAGGCTTGTACAAAACTCCGTATTATCTTTGCATTAGCTCCTTGTCTCTAGCAGCTCCTTCAGATTACTGCAAATAGATGCCTGTACTGCAAATAGACAAGCTTTCTGCTCCCTGGGATGTTTCCTGCTCCAATAAGCAGTTAGTGATTGTGAGGGTTCCTTCTTCCAGGGTCAAATACCAGTGGGTATTTGACTCACATTTGCACTATTTGGTCATCTCTTATTTAGTGAGGCACTCACGGTGAGTGTCCCTGGGGATAAAGACAATCTGCATGACATGTGGAACTCAATATTAGACTGTGATCCTGATGAATTAATCACACTCAGTGGGATTAATGAAAGAAAATTACATTATCATTTTTCCTACTGGTTCATGAAGGATTGTGTTCAGTAATCCTGTTGTCTTCTCAGCACGCTCACTCCATTGCAAGAAGATCGATTTCAAATGCTTTTCAGGGAAGGAGAGAAAAGTTGTATTCTTCTTCCTAAAGCCCCTGCATGGCCATCTGCACTGATAGGGTATAAAAGAGACTAAGTTTAACAGGAACATCAATTATTTTCGATTTCTCTCTTTGATTTCTGTCAGCAGTGGTAGATGGAAAGGACTTATAGTTGTAGATAGTGACTGCTAGTTTAGGAAATGTGGCCATTTTCTAGTAATATAAATATATGGTGAAAAGAATAGGATGCGGCAGAAAAAAAGTTGTCGCACTCCTTATTGCATCAGAAAACTACAGGTGGTGAGCGCAGTATGGCTAGGGCAACAGGGAGGAACACCGATTCGGTACCTGTTCTGACAGGAAAATCACCTACAGCAATATATGAAGCCTACCTACCATGAGACTGTATATCCACAATGGAAAATTTTAGCAGTGTCACAGCAGAATCACTGCCTTCTCTCCCAAGGGAGAGTGTGTGATCTATCTGCCCAGGCTTTTTTACTGTCCACTAACATCACTGTTGCCTCACCAGCATCACCAATGTCAGAGGATACTGCTTTCATGTGTGATACTGAAGAAATTTGCTTAAATCGTAATTTTCTTCGTGGGTTTTTAATCTCTTGCTGCTGCCCCACAGAAAACACTAATTATTGTGTGACACCAGAGATTAATACTATTGAAGTTATGATACAGTCATAAACCACAAGCTGTGGTGTTACATGGGGAATAAGAGAATGAGCAGTTAGGGTGGGAGAATTTTAGAGGCCCTCTAATCTTACTTTCATACAAATAGTGTTAATAAGTCAGCATCAGTAAGAATTATAAAGAATGTCACATGGGCAAAGATGCAGGACTAGAGTGATTCTATTAGCTGCCTCACCTATGCCTGAAAAAGATACATTCTCATAAAAGCTGTTAAGGAACCTGATATTAAGCGTAGTTTTGCTTCTAGTGTAAGCACAATTCTTTGGTTTTGATCATCTGCATCAGGATTATGATTACCCAACCTTTTAATGTTTTTGATCATTCCCTTCAGAATAAGGACAAGAATAACATGCACTATTGCTTCAGTAAATGTATCATATTAATAAATTTCTAATTAATTTTTTCAGTACAGATGAACTTGAGGGCTATATAGTTTGCCAGAGTTCCCAGAAAGCATTAGCAATGAGATGACTACCAAAGCATAGTAAATTAAAGTGCAGTGGTTAATGCAATAACATCTGATAACCAGAAAGAAATTAGAAGGTGAGAATGACAGGAGAATATAATTAGAAGGCAGATTCAGAAATTATTTGGAGGCTCATCTAGATGAAAAAAGCTCTTCATACAGCTTTGTAAAGCCATGTTCTTTTCCTCCTCTAGTACTTTCCCTCTTGTTATTTCAGGATGCCTCAGAACCAATACGACAATTGAGAGTTGTTTCGGATGAGATTTTGGTGCCTTTCCTTGTCCGGTTTATATCATCATTCAAAGCTGCATATCTATCACTGTGCTGTGTAATCTGTGTTGCAGTTCTATGCATGGGCTGGATCTTGCCATTCTGACTCATGTAAGGAAGGGCCTTTATTGAGAATCAGCAGGACAGCAGAATGAATATTTGTAAGAATATTAAGTGTAAGGGTTAATTATGACATTATCTAAAGCTGCTCCTACTGTCACAAGACAGAAGTACACGCTTGCTGGTGACAGGTGCTGATATGCCTGGAGGAGGGCTCTTAAAAATAAGCGATAATGAAAGAATATTAACAGAGCCTAGGGAGTCATCGTGTATAGCTCTTTAACCTTTTATGAAAGGCATAAGCACTGTCAGAATCTGTGCTGTGAACTGAAATCTGTAGATCTTAGTAATAAGACAAGAGCAAGCACAATCATCCTGGACATATTACAGTTTAATTGGCCCTGATATGAATTGCCTCAGGATCAAACTCTCCTCTGATTGAAGCGGAAAACTGTGCTATGGGTTTGTTCAACCTGGAAAAATCCATCACATTTCATGTGATATGACTTTACCCTTTTTGTCTGTGGAGGCAAAGCATGTTTTAAAAACATGATTAGGTGAGTATGTTCTACCCCAGACTTCTGCAAAGCTGTGCCTAAACAAAATAATTCCCACCCAGTTGTCACTCAGCAGCTCTGCAGGTGTCAGTGACTTCCAGTTGGAGGATTTTGCACGAGCTGCCGAAAGCCAGAAACCTTTCTAGTATTGGCGATTTGATTTTTGTGGCCAGCTTCATTTCCAGATAGGGAACAGTTTGGATCACATCAGTATGGTTAGGAAGCTTTCTGTTGAGTTCAGTGCTTGGGGTATGTTTCTTTGGCACCGTATAGTTTCACACACACATTCACTTGCTCAACCTGCATCAAGTTGTTATTGGAAAAAAAAGTTGGATGTGAAAGGGGAAAACAGTTTTAAAAACCTGATCCTTAGGTCATCCCTACATGGTATTTTTCAAGCCACAGGACTTCTAAAAAGAGACACCTGCCTGCAAAGCATCATATACCAGTATGCCAGTAATCACTATTGATTCAGAGCTAATTTGAAATAGTGACTAAATATATATTACAGTGGTCTTTCCCCTGTGTACCCTTTTGTCTGATTTTCACCGTCTTCACAGTTCTTCAATTCTCCTATATATTCTTTCATTTATATGCTGGAGGTTGTCTTTTTTCAAGTTCTTACCTTGCTTTTTGACACATATTTGTTCATCAGCTATGCCAGATTATGACAAGCAAGTTACTACTTCAGAACCTTCTGGTAGGAAAAACAAGTAATTACTGATAGATCCTTGTATTGCTTTTCTTCCTTTCCCAAATGCTCCTGGTTTAGCAAAATTATCTTGACTGGCATGCACAATTCTGCTTGCTACGTATTCCAGACACCCTTTGTGCACTTATCCAGCACAACAATGGTGGAGGGGAAGGCTGAAGAAAACAGACTTGGATAACTGTTCGTCACCTAGTGTCTTGCCTGCCTAGCAAAGTGAGGTTTGTCTCCAGCTCACACCTCTCAGACATTCAGTGTCTGTGATTGTTTCTGCAAAACAAATAAGCTCAACCTTCTGTCCTCTGATATTCACCATTGTCCAGCAAAACTAATTGAAATGCTCTTGCTACCCCTCATGGTAATGCTACGCAATAGTGGGTTTGCTCACGTCTATGCTGGCTGTATCCTATTCCTGTCTTGAATTATTTGAGGCCTATATATGTCACTAAAGGTGGAAGCACATAGGAAAATGAAGTTGCTACTCACTGCCACTTACCACACTGCTTATCTTTGCTAAACTGAACTGTAGGAACAGTTATACTTGGTTTCAAATCATTTGCGTTTAGTTTTGGAAACCTCCGATTAAAGACAAGGGAAGAATAAACCTTGTATACTGCAGAGGGTCTTTGCAGAGTTGCTGGACTTCTTGTAGATTTAACGCATCTTTCCTATATTGAAAACAGTGGGTCTTACCCTTCACTCCCTGTTGGTTTTTCCCCTACTGAAACAAGTGCATACAAGAAGAATCTGCCTCTCTGAACTAAGACTACCTGAGTAGGTGTCTGCAGGAAGCAAATTGGTGTAACGTAATGTTGTCAGCTATCATAGTCACTAATTCTGTTTGTCTGTGTTTATTTACTTTAAGTCCCAGCTCTTCGACACTGTGGTCATGTAAGATCCTCAGCTTTCGTGTCTCTTTCCGTCCTTCTTTATTCCTCTCAGCACTGCTTATCCCTCCTCTTCTCCCACTAGTCACACTTAGTCTCTGTTATTTTCGAGAAAAACTGGAAAGTGCTACCCAAGCTCAGTCTTAAAGCTCAAAGAAAATAAAGAGGAGTCCTGGTGGAGGTGGGAGAAAGCTCAGTTTTATGATTTTATAAACTCGGGATTATTTTTTTCTAAGATCTAACTTCTGATACTTTCATGCCTGAGTTTGTTGATACCGTAACATGAAAATCTGTGCACTGTGAGCAGCTTATGTCACAAGAGAGAGAAGATCGTCCCTGCACGAGGGTGGCATTGAAAGGTGAAGCACTGAGATGCCAGTATTTTGCCATCTCAAGAACTGCGGAACTGGAAGAGTCTCCGTTTTCTCTCCTTTGCCCTCTAGAAATTACCTCTCAAACTTGCTTTCCTTGCTACAGACACACCATAAACATGCAGGCTTGAATGAACTCAAGGATTTAGGTTGTTTGGTACAACTCCCCTGAGGACTATGCCTTGACACTATGGAAAGAATCAGAGTGAGGTTTTAAGTGATGACTGGCCCACCCAAGCCACACAGGCCAAAGAGGAGCAGCCAGATGGAAAGTAGTATACTGGTCCTGTCCTGGCTGGCGTTCAGAAATAGGCTGACAGCCTGTTCTTTTTAAAAAGCTAGGTAAGTATTTGAAAATAGCAACATAGACAAGAGTGTTTACTACCCTAGATATGCCGTGAGGGGTCCAGATTAGTGTATTCTATTTACCCTTGGACAAAAAATGAACAAAACCCTACTTGTATTTTGTATAGCCTGTTTCCTGCTACTGCCTGAATGTGGATGAGACCCTCTGCCCTTACAAGGCTTCAGTTTTCCATCCTAGCCACCAAACGTGGATGTATGCATCCGGGCAAAGTCACCAGGTGGCTCTGGGGGAGGTGGAAAATCAGCCGAATGCTTTGACTTGGAAGAAAGGGAAAAATTTCTTTTTCCACTTATAACTGCTCTTGCTTAGTGATACATTTGCAATCAGCCAGTCAGTGCAAACACAGAAGAGCGGGTGGTCATTCTCAGCAAGTGCAGTCTGAGGTATGTCTGCTGCCATGGCCACGGAATTGCCAAAAAAGAGTGACTTTTGTTTTGTGATGTGAATATACAATCAGAAAGGTGCTGGTGATGGACAGAGGAATATGTCACAGTGAAATAACTGCCTATGAGCAGGTCCTTACCTAACAATAAATACAATGAAGCTGCACAGTCATGTGGAAGATGGACTGGGTCCAATTTACAGAGAGTACCACAAGTGGGAGAGCAAATGGGAGGGCATGCGCTCCAGCAGTTACCACAATGAGCAACGTACTAATCCTCGCAGCCATGGGTCCACACGGTAACTGTTTCCTCACAGCCACAGCTGCACAGGTCTTTGATGTCTGTTCAGACTTCCAGATACCATTTCCCATAAACCAATTGTTCAGCAGTCAGGCAACACTGAGTTACCTGACCTGGTGGGCATTTAAACCGAGGCAGTAATCTCTAGACTTAAGGAACACCATTTACCGAGAGAGCAGTCCTGCCGAATACAGATCAGAGCCTATTCCTGCAGGAGGGTACCGAACAGAGCTAGTTGGACCTTTGCTCAAAACACACAAAAGGGCGCAATTCTTCATGCAGCGGGTTGCAAATCTGTAACATGTTGCCTGAAGAGTCCTGTTTAGGCTAGTGAAACTGCTTTTCTAAAGATGTTTGCATAAATTCAAAGAAAGGTTGGACAAATTCACTGAAGAAAAATTCATTGAGGGTTACTAAATTCACAGAAATGACTTCTGGCTCAGGAAGTTCCTGAGCTGAAAGTAGTGGGAGGTTAGGAGAGTATTAGCAGAAAGCATCGTATATGCTTGTCCTGTTCTTACTTTTCCCTAGGCGTTAGCTTATGGTTGCTGTCAGAGACAGGAGACTAGGCTAGATTAACCTTTGTTCTGATCCACTACGGGCTTGCTTTAAGAATGGTGAGTTCAGAGTTCACTTGTTCAGTTCTGGGATACTAATAGGGAAGACTTCAATTCTGTTTTAACTCTTCTGCTCTGTCTCAGAGAGAGCTAATAAATATAAAGGCAGATGTCGTGAAAGAGCTGACTAAGCACTTCTGAGATGCAAAAAATGTCATTCAGAAGTTGTGTTAAAAACTTCTTTTAATTGTTCTATCTTAACCATTTTGTCTGCAGTGACCGTAGCACCACTCAGTACCCGCTAATCCTGCTTATGTTTTGTTTTGTCAATGTTTTCCCAGGTGTTCCTGAAGCAGAAGTTACTTGGTTTAAGAATAAAGTCAAGCTGTACTCTGCTCACCACCTGCGTGATGGGTCACTGCTGATTGCAAATGTATCTCTGTCAGACCAGGGGCTATACTCCTGCAAGGCAGCCAATCTTCGTGGTGAGGTAACTGAAAGCACCCAGCTGCTGGTTCTTGGTAAGTTATGACGTTTTACATATGCAGCAGTAGCAACACAGCCTATGCAGCAGTTAGCCTTCAGAACAAATTAGAGAGTGTAGAAAGAGGGAACGACATACAGACAACCCTGCCTGGAAAAGAAATCTGTCCATGTTAGTTCTTTGGGCAGCATCACCAGCCAGGTGGTGAAAAAGGGAGCTCAGTGGACAATGAGAAACTGTTTAAGCATAGGAACCTTCCCCCATCCTGAGATTTTCAGTTTCACTTATTCAGACCTACTGGCTAAGAAAAGCACGAAACTCATTTATTATCCTTCTCTTAAATGGTGGCTCTCCTGAAAGGAAAATCATGACATTTTTTCCCTATGAAATGCTCTGCTTCTGATCAGCGCCCTTTCTGGTACATAGCTGTGTGAATCTGACCAGTTTCACACCTCTTAACAGGTGCACTTACAGGTGCATAAACCCAATGCATTTTTAGAAAGCACTAAGTGAATTCAATGAAGAGCAAAGTTTACTTTATCTTGGGTTTCTGGGTAGCAGACAGAAAGGTTAGCTGGATCTTATGAAAGGACAATGTCAGCTGTGAAGCATGCATGAAAAGCGTTACCAGTTCCACTGGTAATTAACTAGGCCTGTAGGAAAGGGCTTTCCTTTCCTACTAAGTGGTATCTATCATTTCTCAGGGCTGGGCAGATGATTAATCCAAGCAGGTTATGTGGATATTTCTGTGCCTTTGACACCAAAGTGCTCAACTTTGTAACCTTGTCCGTGTTATTAGCGCTACGCCATTAAAGCATCCGTTACAGATCTCAGCTTTCGTGACTGGGGTAAGCATAGGGCCCATGGACGATGCTGTTTTCAAGAGGAAGCTTTGAAGTGAGAGGTCTCACAGTTTTACCGACAACACTAAAGCCCCTCTCTGCATTTCGTACTGATCCCCTATGACTCCAGACTGGCTATGGAAACTTGATCTAAAAAATTCTACAGAAAAAATCAGCCAGGTTACAGACTGTAAATCAGAACTCCTACATGGCTTTTAGATCCTTTCCTGATCTTGATAAATGGCTTAATTTTTAAAAATGCGAAATAGTTTCTTGATGGAAAGAGATAGCTCAAGCATCCGTGAGTCATGCTTCTGGCACTGAATGTGCTCAGCGGAAGAAAACCTGCTCTGTGTGTATCTTGACTTTAAATTAAAGGGGATGATGCCACCATTCACTTAAATCAAAATATCCCGTCATTTCTGTGACAAACAAAATAGGGAGCAGCACGCAACACAGTCAGTTTTAAAGACAGCGTTATAGTTAGCGAAGGACTAAATCCTGCAGTTCTTAGCACAGACCGATCCTCTTGAGCTCTTTGAACTCTTAGTCCTTTGGAGCTCTGCCTAAATATACGATAGGATTTGGCAGTGTTATAACTGTATTTATTCCGGGCCTGATCATTTTCTAGCAGATAATGAAATATTTTCCATTGACTTCCATAGGCGTTTGATGAGACTGCTATGCAGCGTAAACTTGCTGTCTGTTCCAGGTGTGGAACAGATACCTGTACACGGTACCTCCTGATACCATGTAGCCTAATCACAAACAAAAACGATACGATGAGAATGCCATGGTTGCCTTCAGGCAGATTTCCTTGATGTGGTCATACTGAGCCATACCTAGCTGAAACATCAGGAGAAGCATACCATTAGGTAGCATACCAATAGTAATAGCTCAAAGTTGTTTAGACTGCCGCTTTCAAACGGTAACGTTCCGGCACGGCAAATAATGCAGCACGTGGTGGTGATGTCCCTGAGATGTTTTCTGCTATATTGTTGCTTACACCTAAGTCTCTCAATCTTGCATCCAGAACGTCCACAACCCCTTCCTCACCTAGAAGACCTGACAGCGGTGCTCTCAAGCGCTGGGACCACCATTCCTTCAGTGCTGACCTCTCCTTTGGGAACCAAAATGACCATCAGTCCTGGGAGCTCTGTCCTCATAGGTAAGTCAAAGGCTTTAAGATTTTTTTAGATTAAACAGATTTGTTTAGTTCATAGGGTTTAGATTATAGTAATGTGTATTTTAAGTGCATTATTACATCCTGCTGGTTGTCTGGATGCGGACTGTGGAGACAAAGAAGATGAGACTGACACTCTACTGTCAGATATAATCATCACCAAGTTGTCCTCAGAACTCAGAAACTCTTTTTTATTCATTTAAAAAATATGCATCTTCTTATTAATGTTATATCCCAAAACTTTGTACAGAGTAGAGAACCATTACGCCGCACTTTATAATACCGTGTAAGAAGCGAGCCCTGCTCTGATGGTCCGGCAGTCTCATTCAAAGCAGGATATTGCACAGTAGTGTGCCAAAGAATCCAAGAGAAGAAATGGGGGTTGTTCTGTCTTTTTTCTTCTAGATCTTTTCCTATAGCTTTACCTGTCAACCTAGACTTGCTTTTATCTTGCACACTGTTTCATTCTGTTCATCTTATTCTTCTGTGAAATATGCACACAACCAGTGTGTGCTCTGAGCCATACAAGGCCATAATCCTCAGTGGAAGGTTTTTCTGCTTTTTATCGTTTTCCACCTTCCGTATAAGTTTCTCTTCTCCGAACTTCAAGTTCGGTTATATACACAGTGAAGTCTTTTCAGGTCTGTGGGCACAATTTGTTTACAAAGAGAATCTCATCCTTGTCTAAAGTTTAGGGTAGGTTTATTTTAAAATTTCATTTTCCGCACTGACTTTGAGCTTCTATTTGGTGTCAGGCTCAGATAGGCAAACAGCCTTGTCACTGCATATGGTGAAATCTTGTGAAGTCGTGCAGTTGCAGAACAATTTTTTACCTTTTTAGATGCAAAGGATCTGTAGCTGGTTTGAGTGTTTATACTCCTGGTATCTGTACCTTTCATAGGTTTCCAAACCCTTATTTGCTTATACTTGGTAGCAATTTCAGGGTTTTCTTTTCACAGTGGAGGCTTTCTATTTACGTTTCTGCTTTTGTGGGGCTTACTTTTCCCCACTGCCAACAGCTGCATACATTTGCAATGGCTTTTAGCATGCAAATTACATTTGGGTCACATTTCTGCTTGCATAAAACTGCAGTGAAATAGTCCTTGTTGGGGGGAATAGCTGAAGGTATTTATTAGCATTCAGTAAATCATTCTGAGCATGGTTTAATGGACTCACTGTTGTAAGACTGGATCACACTCCTGTTTCATCCATTTCCTCTCAGGTTTTCAAAGTAGTTGATCTTGAGTGATCTTGAGTAGTTGTAGGGTTTTTTTATTGTTTGAAAGCAATAATGGAACCGCAAAGTGTGTTCTTGCAGTGCCTGTATATAACCACCTCTAAATTAATTTCATTTGGCCATGTTACCCTGTACCCTGCCTTTTCACTTCAGGGGCGAGGAAGCTCCATGAACCTTAATAGCAAAATAGCAAAGCTGGTTCATTCTTGAGGCAGTTCCTTCAACTTCACTGGAGTTTTACTGACTTGAATTTGAAGCTAGTGTTATTAGAACGTAAGGAAAGCTCCAGAGAGGTTTTTCTGAAGAAAAATCAGCCTGAAAGGGCTTATCCGATCAGCTAGAATGCCTGCAGACCAGTACACTGTAACTAACCATATCGCTGAAGCAAGCACGCAATGCATTCAGTGTCCATGTATTCTACCTCAATACATTGTCTGTATTTGTACCAAAGCTTCTGGGTTCATGCATAGCCATTACAAAAACAAACAAACAAACAAAAAACCCCACATCTCAGCATTTTTTTTAACCTGTAGCCTGTGGATTGCCGTGAAAGGCCATATATATACTCCCAGGTTCTCTCTCTCCACAGTCATCTTACACAGTGGCTAAATTTATCATGGATTCCTGTGATACATTTTGATCAAACTTTAATTGAAGTATTGCCACCTTGGAAATAAAATACATATATATGATTCATGTGTATGCTGCAAACTGTGATTTGGGAAGAAGTACTAAGCCGTCTGTCTCTGTCGTCCTTCTCAACAGCTTTCCCTCTCAACAGGCTGATAGTTCTTTCCATTTCGGTGTACAGCAGATGGATTTTTTTACTTTTAAGTCTTTCATCCTTCATTATCTTGGGCTATTTGCTGTATGTGCTCTGGATGCCACATATAAGAGCTTCACATCTGAATTTCTGTGTATATCCTCCCTTGTTTGCACCATTGCTGACAGACCCCAGCATCTCTTGGGACCCAGGAGATGCTGAGCGAGACCTGAAACTTGAAGATTTGAAGACAGGAGGATTTGTTGAGTAAAGAAAGAAAATAGGACATGACTGAAGAAACAGTGAAATGTGAAGAAAAGGGGTGAAAAGCAAGATATGGGGAAAATTTATATTTCAAAGGAGTGAAAGGGCATCAGAGGTGAAAAATAAAGTTAGAAGAGAAGAGAAAGAAGAAAACTTTGAAACCTGGATAAATTCAGATACAAGTTTTCTAAGGTTTAAGAAAAATGGGAAGTAGAACTTCATTAAACGCAGTTTTTGTGGCTTGAAAAAAAGAGAAGAAATCAGCACAGGAAGAGAAGATTAAATTTGCAAATAAGATTTTGCTTGGAAATCGATAACTTGCTTTTTAAATCAGACTGAGCTGAAATGAGAAAACTGGAGCCTCCAGACTGTCATGTGTTTTCTTTTACGTATAGGTGGAATTGCGTACTGCTGTCATCATATTTTCAATTGTTTGAAGCGATGAGTTTGCTCTCCCAAGTCAGTTCCTGTGGGTTTCTTCTACGCAAAGTTTAGGAGATTTGCAAAAGGAAAGACTAGGGCCTTAACATGGGTGTCTAGTCTGGAGATCTTTTTTGCTCATAATTAAAGCAAGCACAAGTGACTCAGCAATCACTTGTGCGCCTTTCACTTGGTAAACGGAGGGAAAGGTCTCTTAAAGATACATGCCTTGCCTAGTGGACTTGGCAAAGCATGCATCAGTATCTGATGTAAAATGCCTTTTCAGATGAGCTAACGGAAACGCTTCCGTCCTATGTACTTCTTACATTTACTTCTAAGGGTTGAGAATTCAGTTGGCTTTGTAGGCACAGACCATCTTCTGATTAGTTAGCATGACGTGGATAGTGGCTTACACAGACTCCTACTTATATTACTCCTCTGCAGCTGTTGTAAAGGCATATATAATATTGATTTCCTCCCTAGCCCTAAGTTTCATTAGCAGGCTGAATAGTAGACATTTCTGTGTTATCTTCAGATCACAGATCTGAAAGACAAGGATTTCCTTCAGAGCAAAAGCTAGAGCACTTGTTAACTTGGGAATATTTCTGTCCTTACTGTCCTTACTGTACAGTGATGAGCGACAGACACTTTCTGATATCTTCGATTCATGGCAGGAGCAACAATAAGATTTTATACCACATGGACTTTTCTTTGAGTTATCTCTCCAGAAGAGCTTAAAAATGCCACAGGTGTAGCAGCACATCTCAGGACATGGAAAACTAACTAAAAATCTTAATACATGAAAGCAGAAGTAAATTTCTGCAGTTACACTGGTTTGTATTTCTTTAGAAAGCTTTCGGGTTAGATCTTAACCTTATGAGGGTTTCTCTCTTGAAGATTCTTTTTCATTTTGAGTACAGTTTTTCTGAGTGTTGATGATGAAACTATTCTGAGAAACACTGCCTTTTTCTCAGAAAAATATTCCAGTATTGCTTATCCCTGATGAGATTTTTTATTACAATATTCATGACCATTTGAATTTTATAAGCCCTGATTACTTTGCGGAATCATCTTTTTGAATTAAAGAAATATCTTTGTTAATGTACTTTCAGCAGAATGTCCTCATTTACGGTACCAATATCATTGATTTCTTTAAGGCAACTGGGGCACACACGTTCATGGGTCTTAAATTTTGTACATGTTCATTTTGGCAAAATGAATGTTGCAAGACACAGTGTTTATGACTTCTGACTTTCTGCAGATGAGGTTTTGGGACTATCAAGAACTCTTGTTTTCATTTGGAGAGGTGAAGGCACGTTGGCAGGTTCAAGCTTGTTATTTCTTATATTTGAAAATGTTTCAGTGAGAAACTCTGAAGGTCTTGCAAACTGCTGAGGATTCACTACAGTCTATCAAATTTGTTGTGACTGTGCTTGAAACCTCTGCAGTCTTGTCAAAATATATGCAAAATATGATACAAAATATCTCTTCATCTTACTCTAGGATACCATGTTTAGTGTAGTTACATGCCATTGTTAAAACTGAAGCCGTAAAGACTTCAATTTATATACTTGAAATATAATATCTAAGTGAGGATTCTTGCAAGAACATGGGAAGATGAGTTGGAAATGAATATTTATGGAAGTATAGAAGTGCAGGACTACATATAAGATGTCACAGTGAAGAGAGCAAGGTGGAAGGAGAATGTCTTTTTACTGCTTTTATAACAGCACTGTGTTTATTGCCATCTGCCGCTTTGTTGAAGCATTTTGTTAAAGATGGACTCCTGAGCTGTACAGAAAATGGCTGTGAAAACATCTGATAAATCATTCCTCAGAGCTGCAGGTTAAAAGCCCCACATGTTTTTTCACATCAGCAGAAATCTTCCTGTAATTTCTGAAAATAAAATGTGCACCTGAGGATACGTGTACTGAAAGAGGGAGGAATGCTGTATTGCACCTTGTATATAATTAAATAAAGCTTTTGTACTGCATTTATGAGTTAGCCACAGGAAGGGATGCAGCCTTATTTTGGAATGCAGCACAAGCTCGTGAATTTAAAAAGAAATTGGAGCATAATCGTTTGAAATAGCTAGAGTCTGAAACAAATAGTGAATCTAGTTTTTACGTGACGCAATGCAAGACTTGGGCAATGCCTTTAAAAAGGGAAGACGTTCAAGAAAAATTAAGTATTGTAATATTTTAGTAATTGTAGCCAGCCTATCTGATGTGCATACATGCAAATATTCTTTTTTAAGGCTCACTGAATGCCAGTGAAGTGTTCACATTTTGGAAAAGAAAA